GGTGACTAAGCTGCTCTCCATTTATGTTTATGCCCTTTTCGTCTAGGTTTGCACGCTTACACATGTATTCCAATAATGTTGTAAACAGTTTTGGTGAAATGGTGTCGCCCTGGCGAACTCCACGATGAATGTTGAACTTGTGTGTATCTTCATGGAGTCTGACGCATGCAGTGGCATTATCATAGATATTTTTGATGACAGTGGTGTAGCGGTGATCTATCATACTATCTTAAGCTTTTTTAAAGTCCGCGTAGAAAACATATATTGGTTGATATCGTGCTACTTTTTTTCAATTAGCTAGTTAACAGTAAACAGATGGTCAATAATTGATCTACCTGCTCTAAAGCCGGTCTGTTCTTCGGAGTCCATATCACTGTATTCATCTTTCATTCTTTTTTTTTCCCGTAAAGAGATATTTCCTGTAAACTCTCGAGATGGTGCTATGGACTGCGATTCCTTGATAATTGTCACATACATCTTTACTTTCTCATTTATGTATTGTTGTGATAAACGATGTCCTCCACTCCTCCGGTATACTTTCTCCGTTAATACATTTTTGGTAAAGGCTGACTAGTTGCTTATATAATTTTACTTGTATCGTACTTGACTAGCTTAGGATTGTGTTTAAGGTGTTTGCAAATATTGTGCTCTTTCTTCCGCCAATAGATTTGCGAAGTGTTCGTCCCATTTATCTAGGCTGATCGGTGAAGTCTTTAGTCTTATCTTGTCGAAGAGATCGAAGGATTTTTCAGCTTTCGGTGCTTCTGCTACCCCCCAAGTAAGTGCTTATTCTTTCCCAGCTTTCGCTTTTCTTCTTAGTTATCGCACCTTGTACGTTTTTTGGGCTGTTCAAAATTTGTTTTTACTTTGATCAGTATTTATATTTAAGTGTTTGTGGTATTTATCTTGTTTAATCCTTATTTTTTCTTTGATTTCTTCATACCTTCAACATACTTTTGGCTGGATAAGCTTCTGTTTCTTAAACACTCTATTTCTAAGAAGTCTAAGCACACCACATAGCTTTTATTAAAATGCTCAGGTTCTTTTTCTGTGAATAGCAATTTTAGACCTTGTCATTTGCAAGCTGCAATCTACTGTTTTAAACTAGATTTTAGAGTCATATTTAAAATACATACCGCTAAATACTTGTAACATAAAAAATTTTAACTACTTAATAAATATTTTTACTTACACATTTTTATCTTTTGGCGTTCTAAAAGCAGAATATATAAAAAATGCGAAGAACAAGTATCATGGACGTAATTTGAATTCCGCGATTCCTTAGGCACCCGAGAGGCTCTATTCGCTGTCCAAGTCCTTATGCAAAGATGCAGAGATGTTAACTGCGATGTGTATACTTGTTTTATTGACTACAAAAATTTCGACGCCATTTGATAGAGTAAAGCATGGTAAACTTATATATAAGCTTAATAAACATCTTGAAATAAGTGGGGTTAGATGATAGGGACTTGAGAATCATCTATAATTTATATTACAACCAAACAACCAATATCAAAGTGGATGATCAATTGACAGAGGCAGTCTCCATAGATAGGGGAGTGAGGCAACGATGCATTCTGTCCCCGGTGTTATTTAATATATGTATACTCTCTCTGAATGTATCTTCGAGCAAGCGCTGGGAGAACTACGAGAAGGCGTATTAGTCAACGGAATGCGTCTAAACAACATTAGATATGCCGACAACGCAGTAGTTTTTGCAGATAGTCTGGACGGTTTGCAAAGAATAATGTCGCGTATATCAGATATAAGTAGAGAACACGGACTTAATCTTAATACGAAGAAAAAAAAGTACATGGTAGTCAGTAAGCGCGAAATATTAAATACACAGCTTTTGGTTAACCAACATCCAATTGACAGAGTGGACAGCTACATATACCTTGGTACCAACATTAACAGCCAATGGGATCACTAAAGTGAAATCAAACAACGCTTAGGAAAAGCGAGATCAGAGTTCATGATGATGAAGTATCTTTTGAGAAGTCACGATTTACTAATTCTATCAAAATCTCTCTCATTAGATGCTATGTATTTTTTACGTTATTATACGGAGTAGAGGCCTGGACACTTTTCGAAGCGAAGCTGCTTTAAGAAAATTCGGGACATTCGAGATGTGGTGTTACAGACGTATTTTAAGAATTTCATGGGTGGATCGTGTAACTAATGTTGAGGTCCTACGTAGAATAGACAAGGAATGCGAGATAACTAACACCATAAAAGAGCGCAAACTAGAATATATTCTTGGCCATGTTATGAGGAATAAACAGAGATACGGCTTGCTGCAACTCATTCTTCAGGGTAAGGTATTTGGATGTCAAATATGTATGTTTATGTTTTCAATACGTGGTTATTAACTCAAGCCGCCATGGCGCTAAAAGCAACATGCTGCCAGTTTTGTGTCGCAGTTTGATGTATACAGTCTATAGTATTTAGTTAAACTGTTTGGGATGCCCAGCAGTATACAATAATTTGACAAAATGTTAATACCTTTACTATATCTGTCATAGCAAAGACTGTTACATTTCCCTATTAGGCTTCATAAGGCAGACCTTATTACTAACAATTATTACTACCTCGCCTTTTTTAAAGTCTCTTATTAAATTTAACAGTTATAATGGTTGTCTATCTAAGATAATTTTTACTCAAGTAATGATGCTGATAGATGTATACTTAGATAAGGAAAGAGAGAGGACAGGTAACCCTCATTTAATTAACTTTCGAAAAGTGAAGCCAGTTTCGATGTGACCTCCCTACAGGGTTACCAGGTCTACTGATTTTTCAATAGATCTACTGATTTCAAACTTTAATTTAATGATTTACTAAAACATTATATTGATCTACTAAATATATATATATATATATATATATATATATATATATATATATATATATATATATATATATATATATATATCGGAAAAAGGAGTACGACCGTCAAATTCCAATATATAAAAGGATCACTCAACAGAGTGGTGGGTTCTTATATCGGTCAATTTGTAGGTGGAGAAATGAAAGACAAAGTTGATGTGCCACTCTATCTATTTTGAAGACGTTTCGCTTTCGTATTCTGAAAGCATCATCAGTTCATTCTAAAAAGTATAATATAAGAACCACACAATCATGGAAAAGATGTTACAGGTGTTACCTTAAAAAGACATGTAGCAGTCAAAGATGTTAACAAGCTTATGAATTAAACTTGAATAAATGGACATTGTAAAGTAGAAATGTATAAACATTTAATTTACTAACAACATTTAGTGACTTATTAAAAAATTAGCACAGTAAGTGACCATGTTGTCCGAAGTATAAAAAATATATTAAATTATAACTTAAATGATGCAAAGAACTGAGAAAATCAACGATTAACTTCCAACTATTGATAATTATTAAGCTTTAATTTTAACTTTTGGTAGCATTATTAAAAGATGTTAATATAATTTAAAAAAATTAGTGTAAATGAATGAAGTTACCGGTCTAAGCCTTGCACCTGTTACCAGGAAAATGGCGTTAGATTGAACAGACTGACACAGAACCACGAAAAGACAGCCAACCTTGAGGTTGAAATTATTTCAACAGAACAGCAAGGTCAGAGGTACCACCTCAAATAATTGAGCGGTTTATTTAAATGTTAATGAGCTTTGGATGACAGCCCGCCTGTAAGAGACAATCCAATGAAAGAAACTGATATAGCAATAACAATTACTCGCATTAGCCCGTCTAAAAACAAACAAACAGGAGAATTTCATTCAAACTCTTATATTTAAATTTATGTTAAACATTGTGGCTGAAAAAATTTTGCCAACAGGTGAATAACAATTAGATAATTTCCAACAGTCTAAGCTTCAGGCACTTAGATCTGTAATTTGTAAAGGATTCTATGAATCAATTACAATGTTAATATTAATACTATACTATTAAATAGTGACTGGTTCACACTCATATGGAAAATTTTAGTTCATACAAGATCAGCGTATTATGTCTATTTACTTAAGTTTCATTCACATTATTGTTAATAACATTGACTGCTACATGTCTTTTTAAGGTAACAATTAACATCGTTTCCATGATTGTGTGGTTCTCATATTGTACTTTTTTAGATGAACTGATGATGCTTTCAAAACTCGAAAGCGAAACGTCTTCAAAATAGATAAAGTAGCCTATCAACTTTGTCTTTTATTTCTCCACCTAGAGACCGATATAAGAACCCACCACTCGTCTGAGTGATCCTTATATATATATATATATATATATATATATATATATATATATATATATATATATATATTTATATCTATTGTTCTCAAGCTACCAAGGACAAAAAATATGACCTGGCAACTTTTTTGATGCTGGGTGGTTGGAATTATAGCGGAGGAACTAGCTATGATTCCAACGTATCTAACCTACAACATAATTGTACTTTTTTTTGGGTCTTCTATTAACCCATTATCTCTTATAAGAATAGGAAGACTAAGATGGGCAGGACATCTAGCAAGATCACAGCAGAACAACCCTCCTAGAAGAATCCTTATGTCACAACCTCAGATGAAAGGATGGTGTAGATCAGGATGGTAGAAAGATAGGCGCAGCAAACTGGCAACGGTTGGCAATAGATAGGACTGCCTGGCGTAATAAACTTGGGAAGGTCGAGGCTCTTTCGTAGGGCTGTAGTACCATTGATGATGATGATTAACCCATTATTGAAGTATGTTATATGGTAATGTTTAGTTTGAAACGTTCCCTATGACGTATGGTATAATTTATGTCGTTGTGCGGTAAACTATACTTTTTTGTAAGAATACTCTAACAAGAATAAAGAAGTCAATTTTTCATTGTTGAATTATCTATTTAGTAAAAAAATAACAAAGTAATAACAAAAAACAATAACAAGTTCAGATTTTTAAATTCTGAAATGGCATTCGTAGAACTAGTTAAGCAAACTAAAACCTAGAATATATTCATCAGTCGTAGACTAAAAACAGTCTTTACCATTTCTTGTGGCCACTCGTGTGCAAGACATGCTTATATACAGGAACATGAACGGGGTAAGGTTTATCAACGTATTCGATATGATGTTTTTCGATTTCGATTTTCACTGGTTTTTCTACGTAAACGGGAACCAACTTTTCTACTTGAATTGGTACTCTCTTTTCAATTTCTTGTGGTACTAGTTTGTAAATTGGTACTGCAATTGGATGAGGAACAGGCACATGTACTGCATAAGGTTGTGGAACTGGTACTTTAATGATTTGTGGTGTGGGAACGCCGACTGGATGAGGTACTGGCACTCCGATTTTCTTAACTACGGTTACTGGTACTTCTTTAGTTTTTTCGATAGTGTGAGTTGGAATGTGATCGTGTTGTACTTCGACTTGAGGGTGTAGATCTGCACCTCCTATATCATGACCACCCTCATGACCACCATCGTGTCCTCCGATGTTAATTCCATGGGATATAAGGCTGCCAAGGTTTCCAAGGTTTTCCAAAGCCGCATGACTTTGCTGAGCTCCACCATCGTGGCCTGCTTCGCCAGAGTATCCTGTCCAGCCTTGCTGTTCACCGTATCCGTGGTTACCACCATAATCACCTAAAAAATAGGATTTTTAATATTATTACTCTAAAAAAAATATAAAACAAATAAAATGACTTGTTACAGAAAATTTTAAAGTAAAACAAAGTTTCTTAATATTGTTCTGAAGCTATTTTCTTGTGGCATTGTAAATTAATTACTATTTATAACTGGGAATAAGCCACATTAAAGATAAAAATACATTTATTGACGTTTCAATTTCCAATTCGGAAATCGTTCTCAAAATACAAATAGTAAATTTACTATTTGTATTTTGAGAACGATTTCCGAATTGGAAATTGAAACGTCAATAAATGTATTTTTATCTTTAATGTGGCTTATTCCCAGTTATAAATAGTAATTAAAACAAAGTTGTAATAAAAATAAGTATATCTTGGATATAATAAAGATTAAAATATTTTTTGTTTTAATAGAATTATTAAAATATTCAAACTCTACTGACTGGTGCTAAAGCGGCGCAGTTTTTAGAGCTGCTTGTTTTTGTTCAGAATTAATTTATTCTTATTTTAGGCGCTCCGATGAAGCACCTGCAAAATGTGGAGTGACAAGATTGTCAGGTACACGTTTATTTATTTAATGCGCTATTAAGCGTCTGTAGTTTACGTCACTATGCTGGGCATTTTATAAAATTGTTTGTCAAATGTCTGATATCAATAGTCCAAGCGAACAATTTAACGATTCTTATCCGGATTCTAAGGATCACGATTTCTCTTTGAAATTGAGAATTACATTTCATTGACTCTGCACCTATAGTCTGTCCCTCTTTGACTTTACAGTACACGAACATACAGCAATGCAATCCTTATAGGAGTTTTTATCGCGGCGATGCCAATTTTCTTTAAAAGAATTTTCAATCGAACATTAGCAGGGTCCTAAAAATGTAGGGCATTAAAAATGTTAAATTAAAACTAACCCGTTACATTCAATAGCATTGTAGTAAAACAATATTCTTCATTCTGTTTTGATTTCCAACCTGAAGTTACTGTCATTTTAATGTGTCTAGACCCCATGGACGTAGTGTTTAAATACGTCCATGCTACACCCTCATTACAATTTAGTAGAAATTCTAAACTTGAAATTAATTTTAGGTAGTTCATTTTTTAGATAGTTCATTTGATTCGTTGAAGTTCATTCGTTGATATTTTGTACAGTTAGTTTATTTTTTAGTTACTTCTGGTAATATAAGCTACCGGACTAATGTAGTATTTAAGAAATAAGAAAAAGAAGAATTACGTTTTAAGGTTATGTGTATGTTCTCTAATGTAAAAACGGTTACACGTATGTTTAATTAATATTTTCAGTTTCTCAGGCTAATAATTATGGTTTAATAAACCTTTTTGCATGGACAGTGTAGATATTTTATTTATTAGGTTATGGGCCCAGACACGTTATTACGAGATTTGAAAACTAGCCTGTCTTTCGCACCGGTGTGGTAAAAAGTTTAGTTGTTTCACGTTCAACTCGTGAGTGGTCCCGTGTTTATTTTTCGTTACGTTCGAGTCGTACAAAAGTGAAGTTAGTGAAGTGCAAAAATGGCCTTCTGAAACCTTTAGCTATTTATGTTGATTATGAACTTGTCATGTCAAAATCAGAAAGAGCTATTAATGAACTTTTAGAAACTTTAAAGCAAATATTTAAAATAACTGTAAATTTAAATAGTAAATTACATTTTGTTGGACTTGAGATTGAACAAGATCTTAGTGCATATACAATTGCTGTTCATCAAGATAATTATCATTAGAAAATCATTCAAAACAAAAAATCCAATTAAATATAATGAAACTGATCGATTAATAAAAAAGAGAATAAAAGAAGCTAAGGAGAGAATGTTGCATGAGCAGTGCCAAGAACTAGAAGAAATTGAGAAAAAATATGACTTTTTTAACATGCATAAAAGAATTAGAGAATTAACAGGAATGAGAAAAACACTTCAAACTAGGCAACTAAGAGATGAAAGGGGTGCACTTATAACAGATATAAACCAAAAAATGCAGAGATGGACACAATATATAGCACAACTATTTGAAGACAAAGAGAGAACAGAAGCACCAAAAGAATTTAAGGATGATACTGGGCCTGACATTATACGAGAAGAAATTGAATATGCAATGAAACAAGCTAAAGATGGTAAATCTCCCGGGCCTGATGAAGTTCCTATCGAATTACTTAAAATTGTGAATACTGAATCTATTGATCTTCTTTTGGATCTATTCAATACCATATATAGAACAGGTATAATACCTAAAGAATGGCTCCAATCAACATTCATACTGCTTCCCAAAAAAGCCAATGCAAAGGAGTGCAATGAACATCGCACCATAGCCTTAATGAGTCATGTCTTGAAATTGTTTTTAAAAGTAATTCACAATAGAATACATAAGAAATTAGATGAAGGCATAAGTAATACACAAATGGGATTTAGGAAAGGACTGGGAACACGAGATGCACTGTTTGCAGTAAGTGTTCTTTCGCACAGATGCTTCGATATTAATCAGGAAGTATATGCCTGTTTCATTGATTTTAAGAAGGCATTTGACAGAGTGCAGCATAATCGACTTAAAGAAATTTTATTAAATAAAAACATAGTAGAGACATTAGAATCATCTGTAACCTCTATTGGAATCAAACAGCAAATCCGGCGAATTTGGATATCCAAATTCGCCGTGGGGTCCGCCAAGGGTGTATTTTATCACCCTTGTTATTCAATTTATACAGTGAAGCCATCTCAGAATTAGCGCTTGCCGAGATCAGTAAGGGCCTTATAATAAACGGTGAGCCACTTAATAACATAAGATATGCTGACGACACCGTCCTTTTGGCAGGAACACTAGAAGAACTGCAACACCTTGCTGAACAACTAAATATATATTGCAACGATTATGGACTAAAAATCAATTTGAAGAAAACCAAGTTCATGGTATTTACAAAAGCACAAAACATCAAAGTTAAGCTAGTACTAGATAATACAGAAATTGAACAAATATCTTCGTACAAATACCTTAGAGCATGGATCACAGAAGATACTGATCAGACAAAAGAAATAAGATGCCGCATTGAAATTGCGCGGTCAACTTTTAATAGAATGAGAAAACTTTTTTGTAATCGCGATATCAATATATCGCTCCGGATAAGAATGCTTCGATGTTATATTTTCTCTACCCTCTTGTATGGAGTTGAAGCTTGGACACTTAAAAAATCCAACATTAAAAACCTAGAAGCATTCGAAATGTGGTGTTACCGACGCATTTTGAAAATATCATGGATGGATCGCAAAACAAACGAACAAGTTCTCGAACAACTAGGAAAACAATGCGAAGTTTTAAATTTCATAAAGATCAGGAGATTGGAATACTTGGGGCACATCATGAGAGGTGAAAAGTACGAACTACTAAGGAACATAATGCAGGGTAAAATCAAAGGTAGAAGAAGCGTAGGAAGACGTAAAATCTCGTGGCTACGCAATCTCCGTGAGTGGTTTGGATGCTGTTCAATTGAACTATTCAGGCGAGTAACCAATAAAATTATAATTGCCAGAATGATTTCCAATCTCCGATAGGAGTGGAACTTGAAGAAGAAGAAGATAATTATATAGAAAAACTTCTTGTTAAATTTAATATGACTAATTCTAACCCATTAAAGATTCCTACAGAGCCTAGTGTACCTTTGTCTAAAGGAAATATTTTAAATTGTAATAAATCTTTGCCATATCGTGAGTCTGTTGGTTCACTAATCTTTCTCTGGGCAACCATCAGTCGCCCAGATATTACATTTGCAGTTAATCAGGTGAGCAGATTATTTAGTGCTTGGAGTGATGAACGTTAAAAAGCAGTAAAACGAATTTTTAGATATCTGAAATGTACTGCTTATTATAAAATTGTGTACAGAGAATACAGTAGACTAACATGAGGAAATTGATGGACTTGTTTTCGAAAGTTGGATTAAAACTAAACGTCTTCCAAATATTCCCGATAAAACTGTAATAGTAATGGACAATGTATCGTATCACTCCAGAAAGTTAGAAAGAATTCCGAACAATTTTGACAGTAAGGAAGAAATAAAGGAGTAGTTGCGTTTAAAGGATATTTGTTTCGGAGAAGATCACCTAAAATCAGAACTGTTGGACGTTGTAGCTCATTTTAAACCACAGTATGATGAGCGTATCGTAGATGAAATTACAAAAAGGAAGAATGTTAAGTTGGTAAGATTACATCCATATCACTGTGAACTAAATCTGTTAGAGCTGGTATAGAGTGCCGTAAAAAGATTCGTGGCAAGACATAACAGAAACTTTAAGAAGGAACAAGTAGAAAATCTAATACATGAAGCGCACTCTCAAGTTACTCCAGAAAAATGGAATAATTACGTGCAACACCTAATTAGCATAGAAATACAGATATGGAATATCGATAATTTACTGGACAATATCGACCTTTTATAATAAAGCTTAATGACGACAGTGGCAGTGAAAGTGAGAAAGACGGGAGTATAGAACAAATGTAAAATATACAGTTTAAATACATCATAATTATTTATGTAGTTACCTACGTATTTATTAAGGTTTTACATATGTGTGCACCTAAATACATTATTATACAAATGTTTTATACAAAGTTATTTTTATTTGATTGGCATAAAGGTATTTTTCGAAAAAAAAAAAAATGTTTTAGAATTCTTGACAGCCGCAAAATGCCAATAATATTAATTCCAAAGTTATTTATATATAGTTATCCTATAGAAAAAAAGTATATTTGCTTCAAACCTGTTTCTAATAAAAGTTGGTATCACTGTTGGAAATAAGAGTCTGTTCTGTAAAGTCAAGGTGGGACATACTATAGTAAAGCTAAACAAATTAACAAGTACAAAGGAATTTGAAATTTTAAGAGGGGGCGATAGGGGTAAATTTTGTGTCCTGTGTTGTTTAACCTGTATGTGGAGAATGTTTTTGCAGACGCACTTGAAGGCTCTGAGTGTGGAACAAAGGTCAACGGGTAGCCAATAAACATTGGTTATGTCAACGACACCGCGATAATCACAAACAACGAACATTATAGGCAGTTTATACTAAAAGAAAATAAATACTGTGGGAAAAGCATACGGCTTGAAGATAAATGCTGGAAAAACTAAATGTGACAATAAGGAAAATGCAGTTTTATTAGTACAACGGTAAGTAGCAACTGCTCCCATCGAGGAAGTGAAAACATTCAAATACTAAGAGGTGATGGTGAATGGCCAATGGTATCCTTAACAAGAAATAAAGTGCCGTACCGAACAAACAAGACAAACTTTTATTAAATTTAAACAGCTATTATTTAACTGCAATGTTTGCTTTAATTTTCGCTATAGGATCGTTAAATGCCATGTGTGGTCCATATTGTTATACGACACGAGGACATGGACGTTAAAAATATCCCCCATTATTAAGTTGTAGGCCTTCAAAATGAGGAATTTCGTACCTAGATGATTTAATTAACTACCTTTGCTACATTAAGTTTCATATTTAAGAATAGAAAACGAAAGAGATATAATAGTAAATTGCGTATTACTAGCAGCCACAGCTGGACTAAAAACCATGACTCTGATGAGAGAATTAGAAATGGCACTGAAAATGGCTCGTCAATGAGACGAGCATTATTGAAAATAGAGTATTAAGAATTCTGATCGTACCAGAAAACCATAATAAAAACAATAAAGAAGAGGTCTTAATGTTATGTAAATTTACCTCCTCCGTGTTCGCCTCCTGCGGCTTGTTGACTTATTTGAGCTTCATGGTCTGAGATATCATTGGATCCGTAATCAGATTGTTCTTGATGGTTAAAAGTTTCTTGCTTTTCCTGATCGTAGTTTTGTTGATTGGTGTAGTTCGGATCGGAAATTACTCCTGCCAAGCTTGTTTGTACAGCTAAAGCCAGTAGAAAAATGGGTACCTGAAAAAATGATAGTCGGTCTTAATTAGTATGTCTAAATTAATTTTTTTTTAGAAATTTGTAATTGAAAAATATGTTCATCTAAAATCTGTGAGCGTTATAGAAGTTATGCTGTTTACGCAAAGTTAAAGCTCAAATTAGTGTAAATAAATAAAAAATAGAAAAACAAGTATGTGTCAAATTAAAGCCATCAAATATAGTGTATGTTTAACCCATTTGTACCCAACAGGTCGTTAACGACCCATCTAACAAAAAAATGTTCCGAGCAAATATGTCGAATTTGCCAGTCGCCGTTTCTTGACAAGTTTATTCCTGACTATGCAAGTAAGCAGTTTATTTAGTGCAAACTGTTTATTTTATTCGAAGTGTTTGTAGAGTGCACATCAAAATAGAACTCTAATAACGTTCGCAGCATGGCTTCGCATTTTATTATTTAAAGTCATTTTATCTAGCTAAGCACAAGTTGTGCTTACATTATAATAATACTAGTATGAAAATAATTTGATATATGCCATAAATATAATATTATATTTTGATGGGTCGTTAACGACCCGTTGGGCACATGACATATCATACTGAGAAAATGTTCTTTTAGTAAGAAACCACTATCTACTGCAGAAATTCTGGAGGAAATAGAAAGAATTGAAAATAATGAGGTTATACCGGACGACATATATATTTTGCCTCCAGATAATAATGGTTGGTTAACAGATTCGGATTCTGGAGACGAGGAATGTAATGATCCGGATAGAATAAATAGAGGTCAATTGAATGCCGGCGCCGAAGTACCATTTCAGAGTGATGAAGAAGACGTAGAAAACGAAGTTCTTTAAGAAGTATCTGATTTTAATGTACAACATCCAACAAAGAAAATAAAGAAGACGCTACGAAAATGGTCGAACATTATAAATTTACCAACATTACGTGCGGATTCCGATTTACCTAGATTACCAGTTTTAACACTCACTTCTGACAGTAATCCAGTTGAATTTTTTGAATTGTTTATGAGCAGAGAAATAATAGAGTATTTAGTTAAAGAAACAACAAATTATGCTGCCTCGAAAAATCATCATATTTCAATAGAAGTTAAAGAATTTGATGTATTCTTGGGAATTTCAATTTTAATTGGTTACGTTCCATTACCAAGGCGAAGAATGTATTGGGAAAACTGTGATGATACACATAATATTTTAGTAACGAAATCTATGAGATACAGTTGATTTGAAGAGATATTTAGATTTTTTCACGCTGCTGACAACAACCACCTGGCAAAAAATGATAAATTTGCTAAGATTAGACCTTTCATCGAAAAATTAAATAAAAAGTTTTTAACGTTTGCACCCATTGAAAATCAAATTTATATCGACGAATCTATGATTCCTTACTTTGGTCGTAATGGGTGCAAACAATTTATTCACGGCAAATCAATAAGATTTGGCTATAAAGCATGGATAATGGCTTTATCAAATGGATATTGCCTAAATTTTGACATATATCTAGGCCGAAAATTAGCTACTAGTGTTGATAAAAATTGTGGATTAGGAGAAAGTGTGGTCTTAAACTTTGCAGAGATTTTGCGGAATACATATAATAATATAAAATTTTCCTTATGTTTCGATAACTTTTTTACAAGCATGTCTTTGCTATCATCACTTGGAGAAATGGGATTTGGTGGCACTGGAAAAGCCGAGAGGATATTATTGTAGCTCTTTTGAAGGGAGCGCTAAAATTGCGGCTGTAAAATGGAAAGATAATAATGTTGTCACTATATTATCCAATGAGCATGGAACTGAGCCAATACAAAAAAAAGCCGATATTCAGCAAAAGAAAAACTAAAAATTTAAATAGATCAACCATTTTTAATTTCGCAGTATAATAAATATATGGGTGGAGTTGACTTGATGTACAACAACATTTCAAACTATAGAATAAAAGTACGTGGAAAAAAATGGTACTATCCGATATGGCTATGGATGCTGGATGTTTGTGTTACTAATTCTTGGACACTAGCACGACAATTTGGATACAAAAATGACAACTTAGAATTTTGAAGACGTATAGTACGTACATTATTATCTAATTATGGAAAGTCACCCCGTTCCACTGGACCACAAAATATTGCAATAATTTCTACACCATCCTCATCAACACAGCATCTAATTATTACTAGTGCTCAAAGAAAAAGATGTCGCATATGTTCAAAAAAAACAACAAAAGCATGCGACAGATATGAAATTCCACTCCACGATAAATGCTTCAAATATTATCATACAAATTATTTTAAGACTTAAGTAATATAATTAAACTATGCCTGCTTTATTGTTTTCATTTTAGAGAGTAAATATTTAATTTGTTGAAAGAAAATAAAATAAAATGTAATTGCATAAAAGTTACTATTAGTATTATTTTGTACCCCTATATGCCCAACGGGTCGTTAACGACCCAGCATGTTTTTTCGAAAACCAGTTTTTGAAAATTCTTTTTACTAATTTTTTAATGTATTTAAGGGTATTTTATTATATTTTTGAAAAATCGAGATATTTTGACAAAAATAGTTGTGGACATAAATGGGCTAACAAAATTCTACCATTTTCTACTGAGTGGTTTCCAAAATAATGAAAAAAACTACAGGTTTTGTTAGCCTAAAAATTATATTATAATTTTATTAAAATTCATTTCGACTTATCACACATCACCTTTTATAGACAAAATGGTGAAGCGCTGTATTTGTTTTTTACATATTATACAAAATACTTATTGTATATAGCAGTTTAGATTTTTGGATTTTGTCACCACGTCTAACGGCATTTTTGTTACAAGAAGCACGTATATCCTCTTCATATATTTATAATCACTGGACATTTTTGGAGATTTATGTTTAAGACTCTCAAACAGGAAAAAGCCCTCTTTCAAGAAAAAATCATGAGAAAACTGATAATTGCTTTTCGCCGGTATAAATTTTGTTTTCTCTTTCACTTCCTGGGGTTGATGATCACATATTTGTCTTTTTGAGGGCCACGAGCTAAAGAAGCTATTATTTTTTCTGTGGGGCGTCTTAGAGATTTAGTCTTGTCTGGTGTTTTACTAAATGGAAAGATTTTCGTAGGAAATTTCGGTAGAAAATGTAGTAATTAGAGTCCTGAAAGATCTTGTTGTATAATACATGATTCATAAATTATATTAATAATTATTTTCAACGCCTGGTTTATTCGTAGACCGATTTAAATTATTTATGCTCTTAATATTATAATTGAACTCATATTCGTCATGACGTACTAATTTACTTATGTAAGACTAAATGAATAGCTTATTGTATAAAGGGAATAAATCCACATCAGTACGAATTTAAAGTAAGATTTACATTTTGTTAAACCAAAGTCGACGGATTAATGAGTCTATAAGGAAAATTTATTTCTCTCACCATACGCGAAATATCGTCCGATAAAATTATTGTTGAACGTATAAAGCAAACTAGTCCGGGACCGTTTACCTCTTCTTGTTCTTCTTTTGCTTCTTCTTTTTATATAGACATGACTTTGTCTGTTTTTCAATGTGCCTCCAGTAAGTTGTCATTTCATCGTTTTCGTGGTCTTCCTACTGATCGTCTTTTTATTGGGGAAATGTCTCTTGCCGTCTTTACTACTCTATTTGTTGTCATTTGGCTTATATGATCATTCCATTCTACTTTTTTATTTTTTTTTTATGTTCTCCATCTTGCATCTATGTCGTATACCTGTACTTCTAGCTTTGTCCCATAGTGTCTTACTATCAATTTTTCTAAGTGTTTTCATCTCTGCCGATCCTAATGTCCTTTTTTTCCTCTCTGTGTCAGGTCTTGTTCTGTCGCATATGTCATTATTGGTTTGATGACTGTTTTGTAAATTCTGCCTTTCGTTTTTTTTGCCGATATTTTTATTTCTCCATATTGTTTCATTTAGGAAACCTGCGGTTCTGTTTGCTCTATTCACTTGATCTTCCACTTCGGTTTCGAGCTTTCCGTTGCTGGATAATGTGATGGCTAGATATTTAAACTCCATCACTTGTTCCATCACTTTTACTTTTGTTGTGTTGTTTTGGTAGATATTTTTGATCGTTTCGATTATTCCTAGAGGTTTGTCTCTTGCATATAGTAAGTGGGTATCATCTTTTAATTTGACCTGGTCAAATGCCTTTGTAAGGTTCACGAAACATAGATATGCCGGTTTGTTGCGTTCTAATGAGTTCTCCTGCACTTGTCTCATTATAAATATAGCGTCGGTGCATGATCATCCCGACCTAAACGTTGTTGTTCTTCTGCTAGTGTTATAATTTCATTCAATTTATTTGTTATTATTCTTATATGATTCGTCTTATCTTATCATCTTATCTATAGCGCCACAATCTTTTCTGTCATTTGGTCTACAGAGTCGTTTATTTTATTATTTCGGTTAGCTCTAACACGTCTGTGCATTAGTAGTTGTGATGATAACATCAAGGAATTGTAAACCTAGAAAAGTACGCCGAAGCAATTCTGTGTTTCGTAAGTTAAATGGACAAAAACTTCCTCAGGTATGCAAAAACTCATTTCTTAGTTTTGTATGCATTGTCGGCAAAAGCAGTTTTTCTTTTAACTTCATTCCTAATAAATGCTGATAGACCCAATGGCAGACGAGGTCGACATCTTAAACGTAGTAATGCTTTACCCAATGCTGTTATTTTAAATATAAATGAGAACATTAAAATTTTTCCAAAAAAAGAAACTCATTATGGTAGCAAGCCTCTGACCTACCTTGATTCCTCTTTAATCGCAAAAAATATAAACGAAATATGTTGCTCTGAAAATAAAGATTCTTAGCTATGTGAACAACATGTTTACGTAGCTAAGAAGAAGTTGATAGATTCTTCTACGAAGGTGTTGCAAATGATATTGTTAGGAAAAACAGCTCAGGTGGTCAAAGAGAATAAGATCGTACACAAGAACATTATAAAGGCCTCGTTCTTATAATCGGACAATTCATTGG